CCTCTCATGCCTTCATAGATATTGCAAAATCTTACTGTATTCAAGCCAGAAGCTGTAGATCTGCATACTGTTTGCCTCAAAAAAAACAAGCAGTCTGCTGACATCATCAGAAGTGGTAGCCTGATCCAATCACAGTGCTTCACCATAGGATTGGCTGAGACTGACAAAGAGGCAGATCGGGGCAGAGCCAGCATGATTCAAACACAGCCCTGCCAATCAGCATCTCCTCATAAAGATGAATTGAATCAATTAATCTCTATGAGGAAAGTTCAGTGTCTGCATGCAGAGGGAGGAGATACTGAATGTTTGGATGCATTTTAGGCCATAGACATATAATACCTAGACGCCGCATCGATCGCTACTTCCTATTGGCGATAATGACCTGCGGGGCGGCCATCTTGGACCGGTCACAGTGTGATCTGCAGAGCAAGGTCCTCATTCAGGAGACATGGCAGGAATCATCAGTAAACCTGGTTAGTCATAAAATCCACCCGGAGGGTGTATAGATCCAGTAGCATGACGAGTATTTCCAGACTTACCTGATCCTTATGCTCATATATTCCAGTAAAATATAGTGACTGGAATATATGAGCATGATGTTTAATCCTGGGATATTAAATAATATTAACTGATAACTAATCAGCAGTTTTAGCAGCTGATGCACTTTTGTTCTCCTCTTGTTTTCCTTATACCACTTTATTTCTTAAAGGTTAAATGTGAAAAACTAATCTTTCTATGTACCTGTATTTTCCGGCGTATAAGACGACTTTTTAACCCAGGAAAATCTTTTCAAAAGTCGGGTCGTCTTATACGCCAAGTGTCGTCTTATAGGGCGGGCTTAGGCAGCTGCCTAGGGCGCCATGTAGGATGGGACGCCCTGTGCCCCCATCGCCGGCCCTTTTAATGCTGCAGCCGCCTGAACGCTCTATAGAGAGCCTCAGGCGGCTGCAGCACTGCCTCTCTCCTCACCTCCCCTGTAGCGTGCCCGAGCTCCTTTCTGGTCAGTGGTGCCTGGCCGGATTGACTGGAAGTGCACACTTAGTGTGCACTTCCTGTCAGTCCGGCTGGGTACAGGAAACAAAAGCTCCTGTACCGCAGACCGGAGAGGAGCTCGGGCACTCTACAGGGGAGGTGAGGAGAACAAATGGGGGAATAAGGAGACTACGGGGAGGAATAAGGAGAATACAGGGGATAAGGAGAATACAGAGGGAGGATAAGGAGAAAACAGGGGGTAAGGAGAATAAAGAGGAAGGGAGGAAAGGAGAATACGCGGGGGATAAGGAGAATATAGAGGGGGATATAGAAGAATACACAGGGGTAGTAAAGAGAACACAGGGAGGGGGTAAGTACAGAGAACACAGGGAGGGGGGAGTAAGGAGACCACAGGGAAGGGGGGAGTAAGGAGAACACAGGGAGGGGGGGTGAGTAAGGAGAACACAGGGAGGGGGTGAGTAAGGGGAACAAAGGGAGGGGGGAGTAAGGGGAACACAGGGAAGGGGGGTGAGTAAGGAGGACTCAGGTGTTTTTTTTTTAATTTTTATTTGGTGTGCGTTGGAAGAGGGGTAGTCTTATACGGTGAGTATATCCCAAACTCTATATTTTAACTGGAAAAGTTGGGGGTCGTCTTATACGCCCAGTCGTCTTATACGCCGGAAAATACGGTAAGTGTTTTGTGCAATGAACCATTACACAAAATATAGCAGAAGGACTTGGGGCACTTATAGTAGATATAACCTTGACACAAATAAGAAATGTATTTTTGAAGTGTCTTAGCTGTGGTTAACTAGAGATTTGTCTGTAGTAAAGGAAAACTCTTTAAAATAGGAGCTCAAGCAGGTTCTGTATTCCATATGTTTTAAATGTTAACATTCTAAAATAATATAACAAAAAATATAAATAAGTTTATAGTTCACTTTCTAAATGGAAAAAAAAATATTTATTACAATTACAGATTGAGATTCAACTTGTTAATAATATTTGTTTCCTGTGGCTGGCGTAGGGCCAGTGCAGACTGTACAGTGCTTATCGTTAGAATAGGTATTAAATATTATTTCTACAGTGTACAGAAAACATTAATATCAGACTATCAAGTTTACACTAACATTCACAACATTCTAACAATTTACAAAACTAGAAGTACCGTAGACATATATATTATACAGTTGCAAGAAAAAGTATGTGAACCCTTTGGAATGATATGGATTTCTGCACAAATTGGTCATAAAATGTGATCTGATCATCATCTAAGTCACAACAATAGACAATCACAGTCTGCTTAAACTAATAACACACAAAGAATGACATGTTGCCATGTTTTTATTGAACACACCATGTAAACATTCACAGTGCAGGTGGAAAAAGTATGTGAACCTGGGAGTATGTGAAGTATGTGAAGCTGGAAAGGGTTATAAAAGTATCTCCAAAAGCCTTGCTGTTCATCTGTCCAAGGTAAGACAAATTGTCTATAAATGGAGAAAGTTCAGCACTGCTGCTACTCTCCCTAGGAGTGGCCGTCCTGTAAAGATGACTGCAAGAGCACAGCACAGACTGCTCAATGAGGTGAAGAAGAATCCTAGAATGTCAGCTAAAGACTTACAAAAGTCACTGGCAAATGCTAACATCCCTATTAGCGAATCTACAATACATAAAACACTAAACAAGAATGGATTCCATGGGAGGATACCACAGAGGAAGCCACTGCTGTCCAAACAAAAAATTGCTGCACGTTTACAGTTTGCACAAGAGCACCTGGATGTTCCACAGCAGTACTGGCAAAATATTCTGTGGACAGATGAAACCAAAGTTGAGTTGTTTGGAAGAAACACACAACACTATGTGTGGCGAAAAAAAGGCACAGCACACCAACATCAAAACCCCAACTGTGAAGTATGGTGGTGAGGGCATCATGGTTTGGGGCTGCTTTGCTGCGTCAGGGCCTGGACGGATTGCTATCATCGAAGGAAAAATTAATTCCAAAGTTTATCAAGACATTTTGCAGGAGAACTTAAGGCCATCTGTCTACCAGCTGAAGCTCAACAGAAGATGGGTGTTGCAACAGGACAATGACCCAAAGCATAGAAGTAAATCAACAACAGAATGGCTTAAACAGAAGAAAATACGCCTTCTGAAGTGGCCCAGTCAGAGTCCTGACCTCAACCCGATTGAGATGCTGTGGCATGACCTCAAGAAAGCGATTCACACCAGACATCCCAAGAATATTCCTGAACTGAAACAGTTCTGTAAAGAGGAATGGTCAAGAATTACTCCTGACCGTTGTGCACGTCTGATCTGCAACTACAGGAAACGTTTGGTTGAAGTTATTGCTGCCAAAGGAGGTTCAACCAGTTATTAAATCCAAGGGTTCACATACTTTTTCCACCTGCACTTTGAATGTTTACATGGTGTGTTCAATAAAAACATGGCAACATTTCATTCTTTGTGTGTTATTAGTTTAACCCCTTTAGACCGGAGGGCGTACTATTACGCCCTATTATAGGCGGCTCTAAACGCCGCCGGGCGTACCTGGAGCATTTGGCACCCGGGGCGGATCGTTTATTTGGCACCCCCCTCCCCAACTTTGAAATGTAAAAAACAACTGCAATTTTTTTTAAATGTATGTGTATGCAGTGTGTGTATAGTGTATGAAGTGTATGCAGTATGTGCAGTGTGTGTATAGAGTGTGCAGTGTGTGCATAGTGTATGGTGTGTGTGTATAGTGTGTATGCAGTGTGTGTGTAGTGCATGGTGTGTGTGCAGTGTGTGTATATTGTGCGCAGTGTGTATGCAGTGTGTGTAGTGTGTACAGTGTGTGTATAGTGTGTACAGTGTGTACAGTGTTTACAGTGTGTGTGTATAGTGTGTGTGTATAGTGTGTGCATAGTGTGTGCAGTGTGTGTATAGTGTGTATGCAGTGTGTGTATAGTGTGTATGCAGTGTGTGTGTAGAGTGTGTATAGTGTATGCAGTGTGTAAAGTGTGTGCATAGTGTGTGTAGAGTGTATGCAGTGTCTGTAGAGTGTGTATAGTGTGTGTGTAGAGTGTATGCAGTGTGTGTATAGTGTGTGTAGTGTGTGTGCAGTGTATGCAGTGTCTGTAGAGTGTGTATAGTGTGTGTGTAGAGTGTGTAGTGTGTGTGCAGTGTATGCAGTGTCTGTAGAGTGTGTATAGTGTCTGTAGAGTGTGTGTAGAGTGTATGCAGTGTGTGTATAGTGTGTGTGGGCAGTGTATGCAGTGTGTTTAGTGTGTGTGTAGTGTGTATGCCGTTTGTGCAGTGTGTGTAGAGTGTATGCAGTGTGTGTAGAGTGAATGCAGTGTGTATGTAGAGTGTATGTAGAGTGTGTGTAGAGTGTATGCAGTGTGTGTAGAGTGTATGCAGTGTGTGTAGTGTGAATGCAGTGTGTATGCTGTGTATGCAGTGTATGTAGAGTGTATGCAGTGTGTGTAGAGTGTATGCAGTGTATGCAGTGTATGCAGTGTGTGTAGAGTGTATGCAGTGTGTGTAGTGTGTATGCAGTGTGTGTAGAGTGAATGCAGTGTGTATGCTGTGTATGCAGTGTATGTAGAGTGTGTGTAGTGTGTAGAGTGTATGCAGTGTATGCAGTGTGTGTAGAGTGTATGCAGTGTGTGTAGTGTGTATGCAGTGTGTGTAGAGTGAATGCAGTGTGTATGCTGTGTATGCAGTGTATGTAGAGTGTGTGTAGTGTGTATGAAGTGTGTGTAGAGTGAATGCAGTGTGTATGCTGTGTATGCAGTGTATGTAGAGTGTGTGTAGAGTGTATGCAGTGTGTGTAGAGTGTATGCAGTGTGTAGTGTGTATGCAGTGTGTATAGTGTGTGCAGTGTGTGTAGAGTGTGTATAGTGTATGCAGTGTGTAAAGTGTGTGCATAGTGTGTGTAGAGTGTATGCAGTGTCTGTAGAGTGTGTATAGTGTGTGTGTAGAGTGTATGCAGTGTCTGTAGAGTGTGTATAGTGTGTGTGTAGTGTGTATGCAGTGTGTGTGCAGTGTATGCAGTGTCTGTAGAGTGTGTATGCAGTGTGTGTATAGTGTGTGTGTGCAGTGTATGCAGTGTGTGTGGTGTGTATGCAGTGTGTGTATAGTGTGCAGTGTGTGTGCAGTGTGTGTAGAGTGTATGCAGTGTGTGTAGTGTGTATGCAGTGTATGTAGAGTGTATGCAGTGTATGCAGTGTGTGTAGAGTGTATGCAGTGTATGCAGTGTGTGTAGAGTGTATGCAGTGTGTGTAGTGTGAATGCAGTGTGTATGCTGTGTATGTAGAGTGTGTGTAGAGTGTATGCAGTGTGTGTAGAGTGTATGCAATGTATGCAGTGTGTATGCAGTGTGTGTAGAGTGAATGCAGTGTGTATGCTGTGTATGCAGTGTATGTAGAGTGTGTGTAGAGTGTATGCAGTGTATGTAGAGTGTGTAGAGTGTATGCAGTATGTGTAGTGTATGCAGTGTGTGTAGTGTGTATGCAGTGTGTGTAGAGTGAATGCAGTGTGTATGCTGTGTATGCAGTGTATGTAGAGTGTGTGTAGAGTGTATGCAGTGTGTGTAGTGTGTGTGTAGTGTGTGTGTAGAGTGTATGCAGTGTATGTAGAGTGTATGCAGTGTGTGTAGAGTGTATGCAGTGTATGTAGAGTGTGTGTAGAGTGTATGCAGTGTATGTAGAGTGTGTGTAGCGTGTATGCAGTGTATGCAGAGTGTATGCAGTGTGTGTAGAGTGTATGCAGTGTGTGTAGTGTGTATGCAGTGTGTGTAGAGTGAATGCAGTGTGTATGCTGTGTATGCAGTGTATGTAGAGTGTGTGTAGTGTGTAGAGTGTATGCAGTGTATGCAGTGTGTGTAGAGTGTATGCAGTGTGTGTAGTGTGTATGCAGTGTGTGTAGAGTGAATGCAGTGTGTATGCTGTGTATGCAGTGCATGCAGTGTGTGTAGAGTGTATGCAGTGTATGCAGTGTGTGTAGAGTGTATGCAGTGTGTGTAGAGTGTATGCAGTGTGTGTAGAGTGATTGCAGTGTGTATGCTGTGTATGCAGTGTATGTAGAGTGTGTGTAGAGTGTATGCAGTGTATGTAGAGTGAATGCAGTGTGTGTAGAGTGTATGCAGTGTGTGTAGTGTGTATGCAGTGTATGTAGAGTGTGTGTAGAGTGTATGCAGTGTGTAGAGTGTATGCAGTGTGTGTAGTGTGTATGCAGTGTGTGTAGAGTGAATGCAGTGTTGCCTGGGGCTGCCTGTAATGACAGGTGGTCCCCCTGCTGGCTGAAAATAAAATTAAAATGAGTTAAAAGTGTAAAAAAAATAATAATATATACTTAGATCATATATATATATATTATATATATATGATCTAAATATATATATACACATATACATACACACATGTACACCGTCTAGGTGTATTTTACTATTAATATATATAATTATATATATATATATATTAATATCAAATTACACGTAGACTGATACTGATTAAATATATATATAATTATTGTTATATATATTTATATATAATATAAAAAAATTTAATATGTAAATACGTTAAAAAATAAAATTAAAAAAATAATTAAAAATAAATAATTAAAAAATATTTAGATGTGTGTTATTTCGTTCTAACTGTATTGTGAAATTAATATATATATATATATATATATATATATATATATATATCAAAATATATACGTATATATCACTATATATATACCTATATATAAATAAAAATATTTTTTTTTAAATTATATAGATATATACATATATATACACATACGTATATATATATCCATATATTAATTCTACATATATATTTATGTAATATTTTTACATAATTAGGTATCGTAATTAATTACAATTAGCAGGACCTGCCTGAAAGTAAAGGGAATTTAATTTGCTAGCACTATATTTATCCCTATAACTTTCTGAGACACCATAAAACCTGTACATGGGGGGTACTGTTCTACTCGGGAGACTTCGCTGAACACAAATATTAGTGTTTCAAAACCGTAAAATGTATTACAACGATGATATCGCCAGTAAAAGTGACGGTTTTTGCATTTTTCACGCACAAACATCATTACACAGACGATATTATTGCTGTGATACTTTTTACTGTTTTGAAACACAAATATTTGTGTTCAGCGAAGTCTCCCGAGTACAACAGTACCCCTCATGTACAGGTTTTATGGTGTTTTCAAAAGTTACAGCGTCAAATATAAGGCTTGCGTTTCATTTTTTTCACATTAAAATTCGCCAGATTGTTGCCTTTGAGACCCTATGGTAGCCCAAGAATGAAAATTACCCCTATGATGGCATACCATTTGCAATAGTAGACAACCCAAGGTATTGCAAACAGGGTATGTCCAGTCTTTTTTAGTAGCCACTTAGTCACAAACACTGGCCAAAATTGGCATTTTTTGCATTTTCACACACAAACAAATACTAACGCTAACTTTGGCCAGTGTTTGTGACCAAATGGCTACTAAAAAAGACTGGACATACCCCATTTGCAATACCTTGGGTTGTCTACTATTGCAAATGGTATGCCATTATGGGTGTAAATTTCATTCCTGGGCTACTATACAGTCTCAAAGGCAACGTAACCAATCTGGCGAATTTCAATTTCAAATGTAACGTGCTATATTTGACCCTGTAACTTCCCAAAACGCCATAAAACCTGTACATAGGGGGTACTGTCTTACATGTGAGACTTTACTAAATACAAATATGTGTATTTTATTGCAGTAAAAGCAAACAGTATTATGACACTGACCTTTAAAATGTCATTTAGAACTAAAAAAATAAAATAAAACAATCTTATTTTCTCCCATTTTTTCATATTAAATTATGTTTCATAGCTAAATATTTGATATTAAATGAAAGCCCTGTTTCCCCTGAATAAAATGATATATAATAAGGGTGGGTGCATTTACTATGAAAGAGGTGTATTACGGCTGGACAGACATGTAGCGCAAATGCCAGGTTTTGTTTACATTTTGTTTTGTTCACAACGTGTACATTTGGCTCCGTCCTTAAGGGGTTAAGCAGACTGTGATTGTCTATTGTTGTGACTTAGATGATGATCAGATCACATTTTATGACCAATTTGTGCAGAAATCCATATCATTGCAAAGGGTTCACATACTTTTTCTTGCAACTGTATATATATATATATATGTCTATGGAAGTATGACCGGCCCAAAATGGCACCCGCATTTCTCGACCACCAGAGGTCAGTGCGGCGTCTATGTTTTAGGCAGCCATGACCCAGAAAGGATCTCTATCAGCCATCTCAGGAATGGCCAGTGAAGATATCACTAGGCTGTAATGTAAACACTGCATTTTCTCTGAAAAGACAGTGTTTACAGCAAAAAGCCTGAAGATAATGATTCTACTCACCAGAACAAATTCAATAAGCTGTAGTTGTTCTGGTGACGATAGTGTCCCTTTAAAGGGTCAGAAACACACATTGTTACAGCTGTTTGTATGTTTAAGGAAAGGAGCACAGCCTATAGACATTTAGAAGAATAACAGAATACTGTATTGTTTTACTTTTCTAATCTGTAAAGCTAACCAATGTCAAGCGAAGACCAGGAAGCACAGGAGGATGAATTACTAGCTCTCGCTAGTATTTTCCATAAAGATGAATTCAGGAGAGCAGAAACCTCAAACGGAGGGGAAATCCAAGTGTGCGTCGAGTTACCATCTAACTTTGAAATATCTATCAAAAGTGAGTGTTTGTCTTGGTAATTCTTATTGCTCTGAACTATTTTATACAGAATACACTACACTATATTTTGTTGTATTCTTTCTCTTTTATATATCCAACTACCACTGAGACTACTTCTGCCTCTGAGATCACACCAAGGCACTACGCTTCCTTCTACAATACGCATTTTCTTTTGGACCAGAACAGAGAGACTCTGGTTTGGCTGTTTGATCTGCCTGTAAATACTTCAAAGACTTATTCTTCCTGGTTGTTATAATCTTTAATATTTGCAACCAGATGATTTTATATTTAGTATAATAACTCTTCAGATTAATTTAAGAGTTGTATCAGAATAAAATTTGTGATGTGCCGTTAGAAATGCATATATAGCCGTTTTGGTTTGTACTGTTCAAATTGCATATTATTTTCACGAACTGTATCTCAGTTGGCTTTTGCGAAAGCCCAACAGTTAATGTATACTTGCTTTGTCTGTCGAGTGAAGAATAAAAAAAAAAAAAAGAAATGCATATATAGATTATGACACGTTTGCAAGGTAAACTATCTACAGGTTAATAGGTTAAGCACTCATACTTGGAGAACAACTTAAATGGTTACTCAGAACCACCATGACCACTTCTGCTTTTTAGATGTGGTCAGGGTGGTAGGCGTCTGGATGTGCATCTCTGCATATCCAGACTTATAGTTTATTGTGTGCTGGGGGCAAGTTGTTTCCCAGCACACATGACTTAAATAGACCAATTTTCTTTACACAATTCTATACATAAAAAATATCTATCATCAGCGCTCACTGCACTCTGCCAACAGATGTAATAATTTTCCCCTTCTCCCTGCTTACAACCCTACTTTTTTTGTCAATCTTTAGTTAGTACTGTGCACAAAATAACAAAACATTCCTGTTATGCCAGGACAGCAATAGCATAGAAAATACAAATACATAGCAGAACATTGTATGGTATGTGGAATCACGGCTTACCGCTTCTCCATAAATCCCCATCCGATTCACCAGGATCTCTAACCCAGGCCGGATAAGGAACCGATGCCTTATGATGACCCTATTTTATTGAAAAATCATCCAACCTCCCTATCCCATATTTAAAAAATAAAAAGGTTGGAGAAATCCTTTGCATTAAAGGTGTTTGTTGTTGGTACATAGATCTGCAGAATAATCATGAGATTAAATGGATATTATAGTCACCAGAACAACTACAGCTTAATGTAGTTGTTCTGGTGTCTGTAGTCAGTCCCTGCAGGTTTCTTGCTGTAAACATTGCCTTTTCGAGAAAAGGCAGTGTTTACATTAGTGCCTAGGAACTCCTCTAGTGGCCACTCCTCTGACAGCAATTAGAGGTGCTTCCTGAGGCAGTGCTGCACAGTGACATTCAGCGTGCTGAACTTTCCCCATAGAGATGCCTTGATTCAATGCATCTCTTTGAGGAGATGCTGATTGGCCAGGCCAGCATTTGGCCTCGCCCCCATCATCCTTAATGATCCCAGCCATTGGATTGGCTGAGATCGTAAATCCTGATGATGTCAGTCAAGGAGGTAGATCGGGGATGGGGTGCTATGCTGGAAATAAAGTAAGTTTTATAGGGTCAGGAATACATGTTTGTGATCCTGACCCTATAGTTTTCCTTTAAGGTATTTTCTGAACTTTGTATTTGTACTTTGTATATAACATTTTTGCTGTGGAAAAAGTGCATGTTATCCCTGCGGACATAAGTTCAATTAACTCGGATTAAAACATTTAAATATTGCCTGAATATATAGTCTCATGCTACATAAAATACAGCTATTTTAATTAGGTGTAACTTCTGCTATAATCTACCTTAAATAGAAGTGTTTAAATATATGATTCCTCCCAAAACATTTTATTAAAAGAAAATTCAATTTAAATAAAAAAAATGTTTTAATTAAAAAAAATAAATCAATCTATTATTGATATTTTATTTCTTTTAAATCATTGATTTTTATCCAGTCTGCTCTTAAGTAACTTTACATATGAGCAATGACTGATGGAAACTGGCAAGACGTTAAAACTCCACCCTATTTTTTGCCAAAAAATACCTTATCTATAAGTACTCCTAACTTTGTTTTTTTTATGTTTTCTGATTGTATTGGAATTTCACTGAAATTCCAATGCAACCTTCATCAGTTTTTCCAAAACAATTCTATCCTTCCTAGTCCCACAAAGCCTTTAGAGGTAACGAAATCCGAAAACTTGTGTACCTAACCAAAATTTGTTGGCCTTCCCGTGTCGTCGTTCTTTGTGCTTAGATTCAAGATGCCACCACTCACAAATGACCGGTATTTAGAAACTCGTGGTACAGAGAAATGGATTCTGAGATCTCCCAAGAAGAATGTGAAAGATTGTTCACCTTCCTTGGTTTCTCTTCCATAGATGTACACATGCAACTAGATTAGTATGTCTAATCATCTGGTGGCATTTAATGCCCATGGTACTATATTACATGATGCCCCTCAGTTTGATGGAGGTGTGACATGGATCAGGATATCCATGTCACACCTCATATCAGTGCACCAAAATCTGACAGTTTTGGGAGAAAATTAAAGTACTGATATGCACATTCTCCTCATGCAAGATTCCATTCACACCTACCTCAATACTATTTTATACCGCCTCAGACTCTTTAAAGAAGTATTGATACTCGCTTATCCCCTACCTTTTAAATGTAGCCAAAACAATCATCCGTGCATACTGTAAGACTGATAAAATTCCATCCATCAAAGAGTGAATTGAAAGGATAGAAAATTGGACATATCATGCACATCATACTTACCTTTATATATGGAGAACCTAGTTCCAATTTCTTCACATTGCCATTGAGTATGGATGGGACATCTGCTTCTCCATGACCCAAGACATGTCAACAGCTAATGTATACCATATTTCACCCCTCATTGCTCTGACATCACTGAATAGTTCCTGTGACCCATTTGTAGCCCATTTGTATAAGCTGCTTCTATTTTGTTATAGATCATTTGTTCTGTGTTGTTTAATATGTCTGCTATGCTCCTCATCAAGCACTGTTTTGTCCACATTGCCTTTACATTGTGCACTTCCTGATTTAGATGGTTGTTTTTAATTGTTCATGCTCACTATACCTTTTTTATGAATGGGGAGCTAGTGTTTGCCTTAGAATGTCAGCTGACTGCTCTAGCCAATCAGCAGTGCCCATGCCCGGCGTCACTAACTTAAACTCACAAACCAGATGTTGCCTAGATTGGTGCTGGAGACCACCTTTGGGGTTAAACCATTTGAGAATCCACTAAGTGTTCTGACCAGTGTGCGCTTGCCTCTGCCTGTTTTTTTGTTTTTTTCTCACTGACACAAGAGTTGTATTAAGTTAAAATCCAAATTGCAAAAGTTCTGATAAAGTAGACAGTAACTATAGCCAAGTTTGTAAATTTTGATCTACAAATTCACCTATTTTTGTTTTATGTATGCAGTTTGGTCTTCAGTTTGGTGTTTTGAAAATAACCCACCTGAGTTTTAGGTAACAATCTCAGTATTATCCCAAGATTAGTGGATAGGACTCCTGGAGGAGCAGGAACATGTATTCAGTCTCCATCCAAGTTCACATTTTGTCCTTTCTCCAGGTAACGCTGCAGAAAACATCTTCATTGAGCACCTGAAATACACGCTATCTTACCTACCACCAATTGTGCTGAAGTTTAACTTTCCTTCAGATTACCCATCAACCTCGCCTCCGAACTTCACACTCAGGTGCAAGTGGCTCATACCCAAACAGGTAAAAGAGATTTATACAATGTTCTGTTAATTTTATCATCCCCCGTAAGGTATCACTCAGTGCCACTCAGTAATTGGTCAGAGTGAAGATCCACGAAATGCTATTTTAAATCTTAAGCTGTCAGGGAACATTTGCCATGATGCATCAGAAATGCTACTTATGAGCTGTTTAAAGTGAAACTGGCATGCCGAACTTATCTTTCCCCAATTGCTTCCTCTTCTCTTTGTCTCTCAGGATCTGTTCTTCTTTTCTTCCTTTCTGATCTAGTTTTTCTTTAAAACATAAGATAAAGTACTACTACTTTGCCTTATGTATTTTTCCTACACTTGACCATCTTTTTATAAACTCTTTATTTATATTTTTTTCAAATTTTGGTTTATCAGAAATAGGGATTACAGAATAAAGAAAGGGATACATATCAGGAAAAGTACAATATTTTTGATATCGAAAAGGAAAACTTAAATGTACAGCATAAAACAAAGGAGCTAGTATTATAAACATCAAAGTATACCAATGTTACATATGGAGTCAGGTACAAAAAGGTATATTGAGTACATCAAGAGACATCGTGGCTGTGTTGATTCTCCTAATGTAAAGAAACAATTAAAATAAATGAATCAAGGAGAAGGGATTACATAGGAAAGGGAGTGAAGAGGAGTTACATCTTCGCAGGTTAGGGGGAGCGCGAGGAAGCTCAGAGGGGGTAGTGATGCATTGCGGGTTAAGCCCGTAGTGTCTTTATTGCATGGAGGAATTGTTACGCTTGACCATCTCTGACCCAAGGAGGAGCTTGTCTCCTCCATTTCCGGTGGTGAAAGAAATTTTCCCACAATACTCACCTCTCCACCGTGATCTTGCGTTGCTTCATTCGCTCTCCGAACATCCTGTCATTAGATGCGCCGACAAAACTACCCAATTTCCTCCTAACAGAATGTGTACAGTTTGTCCATTCGTGTTAGGATAAAATTCTGTACTTTTTGTTCAGTTATGAATTTCATGATCCGATCAGTGCCGTGGCTGCATCTTGCTTTTTTCTGACGAATGAACGAATAGCCAAAATTCCCATCCAAATTTCGGTCAATAGTGAATGCCCAAGTTAAACTGGGCATGCGTAGCAATTTAACAATGCTATCTATTGAGGGCAGATGACGTGTCCTACAGGACCTTCATCTGCCCACACAAAGATGGCGGCACTCAGAATCTAGAACTGGTCTAGAAATCAACAGGTTAGAAATGGTGAAATGGGGGACGTAGGGGCATTTGGGCGTGACTAGAAAGCATTAAGAACGCATGTTCCAGCATGCCACAAACATTTTCCAATTGGTTAATTGTTTTTACTTTGTTTCAGCTTGTCAGACTTTGCCAGCACTTAGATGAACTGTGGAAGGAGAATGCAGGATGTGTTGTCTTGTTTGCTTGGACTCAATTTTTAAAAGAGGAGACACTTGAATACTTAAGCATCCAATCACCCTATGAGATTGAAGTGTGTCCCAATGTGTCACAGAATGGTGTTCACCCACCGGGAGAAGCCGATCTCTGCAGCAATGCAGAATCACAAGAGGATGGGGTCTATGACAAGAGGAACATACAGGATGTGAAGTCTGTTTCTGCCCTGATGAAATACATCTTGGAATTCAATGAGTCTCAGCAAAAGAAATGCTTTGATAGCAAATTGTACATGTGCAATATCTGTTTCTCAGAAAAGCTGGGTAGTGAGTGCACAAATTTTAAACTTTGCAATCATGTCTACTGTAACATTTGCCTCAAAGATTATTTTGAAATTCAAATCAAGGATGGCCAAATCCACTCTCTGAACTGTCCAGAACCAGAGTGCTCCTCCACAGCTACACCTGCTCAGGTAATCCCAAAGTTTTCTCTATACCACATCCCACAGTTATGTTTCTTTGTGCTGTGCTAGAATTTGGTAATTGGCCTGTGTTAGATCATTCTTAGAGTGGGATACATTTACTGTTTCATTAAACAATATATTGGATATCGATATGTGAACGATCTCCTGATGATGGGGACTATTTAAGATCAAAACCAGAATGCTGCAGGCACATTATATGGCTGTTTTGTACAAATTTTAGAGTAACATTTTAAGACTCTCATCATTGTATTGTTACAACACTTACTTACTTTAGGGCCTGTAAAACTTTAGAAAGTAGCTGTGCACCCTTAAAAATTAACATGTCCCACAGATACTACAAAGCCTTGTGTCTAAATGTTATATGCATATTGTACATGTTGTGACAGAGTCTATGGGAGGGTAATAGAAGGAAGGTATTTAGGACCCAGAATCCTCCATAGCCTGTACTCATTCACCTGCCCAATTAGCAACTGCTGAGGCTTTAATTAACAGGTCTCAGAGCAGAAAAGGGGGGAGATACAATCTGACCTGCAGAGAACATCAGAAAAAGTGCTAAAGGTTGGTGAAACCAATGTTTATTTTGTTGGTTTGTTTAGATTATTACCCTGGTTTAGTAAGGGACATTACTTTATGTTTAGTAAGTGCTCGAATTTGAGCTAGGATTTTGTTTGTATATTTTCCTTTCTGTTCTGCTGCAATTTTGAACAAACTGATTGATGCATGGATATTTGTGCACAATGTAAATAAACCACATCGTTTTTGCATAAGAGACTGTTGTTCTATACCGGTTACCCTAGAGGACTGTGTTGCTTTGCCCACAAAGGTCACAATGTATAACTTTTTCAAGATCCAATTGGAGTGCTCTGAAAAAGTAATTTTGAAATGTTATTGTTTCATTTATTTATTTTATGTTTTAGTCTTTTACGATGATGGAATAATGGAAGTAATCACCTCTGCCTCTTTGCGTGTAGGTAAAGGAACTGGTAGAAGAAGAGTTGTTCAGCCGTTATGACCGTCTCCTCCTGCAGTCCAGCTTGGATCTCATGCCAGATGTTGTGTACTGTCCTCGTCCAAGTTGTCGGGCACCAGTCATGCAGGAACCAGAGAGCACTATGGGTATTTGTCCCTGTTGCTATTATGCATTCTGCACGCTCTGTAAAATGACCTACCATGGAATCTCCCCATGTAAAGTAACAGCAAGTAAGCAAATTATTATTCAGCACTTTTGTGTTTTTATTTAAGCTGGTTGTGGTGATAGAAAGTGTTACCTGGTTCTCAAAGTGGCGAATGACCTTGTAAAATCTTCACTTAATAGAGCAAATTAATATCCTATATTTTAAATGACAACTTTCAGTTTATGAATTATGTCCAAAACGGCACAAAACCGCCTTGGTCGGGATATAACAAGTGGGATAATAGGGGATTTGGCATAAAACTTAATATCCACGTTGAACATGGAGATCGGATGGAAATTTGGACACCATGTACGGAGTTTCCCTGGCTTGGGGAGTGTTCTATTCATTTGTTGTAATCTATCTGTTGTCTTGATATTATTGAAAACAGCACTCAAATGAAGAACTAGGGATAAGGCAAAAGTTTTTTAGTAGCAGCCAAAGGGCGGTCAGATTACAGTGCCTTATGAGATGCAATAGCCCCTGCTATAACATCATCCATTAAGGGGGAAGTTAGTGCTTCTGCTTGAAATGTGTGCATCTGCGAAATTGTAATTTCTTCCCAAAAATCTGCAGTATTTTGGGGAATGGGTTGATGTTGCTTTAGATCCTCTTACAAGCTGTAAATAAGATAACAAGAAAGAAAAGAACACGATAAGAAAGAAACGTGAATGGGAAGTTGCTTGTTTTTTACTTTATTCTTCTCTTCTACCTTGCCATTCGTTTTGCATTCCTTTCTGTTTTCTTAATGTATTTTTTATTATCAATATCGTTTTTCTTCTTTGTCTGCTTTTGTACCAGAAACAATGGCTGAAAAGGGGTCAGTAGACTGTTGTGTTTCCTTGTGTATCTCAGAAGGACTCATGGTTAGTCAATCAGAATAACAAGTGGCCATTTTAGATAACTCATCTAAATTGTACCCTTGCATGTCAGTAAAGCCTGGTTTGTGGCACAGACAAATCAGTAAAATACCCAAATTATGAAATAAGAAAAAGGATACTGAACATAACAGATAAGGAAATTGTGCTATGCAGTTAGGTCATCCCAGACCAGCCTGGTAATCAGGTGGCCTTCAATGGCGACACAGACACATATGGGGAAGGCCTCAGAGTGCCAAACAGGACCCAAACCTCAGATACTTTCCTCTGGTGAAACAACAACTTGAGGGTCTTCATTATTCCATATTACCAGCTTTGTAGGAAATCCCCACGTAAATGTCAGGCCATTGTTTCGGAATAATTAAATGTTTTCAAATTCTTTCCTCCTTGCCGTAATGTTTGCCGAGTGATTAACATATAAAGACAGAGTAAAGTATGGTGCAGGTAGAGAACTGAATTTCGGAGTCACGGCCAGAGGCTCCTCTTTCATGTAGAAGTAGTGAAGGTGAACAATTAAATCACTGGTTGCTGAGAATGGTAGGCCTTTGGTAAATGGATGTGCCATAAAAAAAAAAAAAACTCATTGTCTCTTTTGTTGGGGAGGGTAGCTGAAATCAGGGCCTTCAAGTACGCTGGCTGTTTAGACTTGAAGGTTGTTGCTGCGGAAGGGATCCTCCATGTCCACCATTTTTGCCAGTATTTTAGTGTGCACCATATCCAGAGTTTGGATATTATCCACTAGCTCATTGTGTCCACAGCTCGTCTATCTTCCTCTCTATGTGGTCAATCCTGTCCCCTAGTTCACAAATTTCATTGTGTAGGTTGGCTGTTATGGCATTGAACTCAGCCTGTAATGTGGAGCGTAGGCTGTGCAGCATGGCTCTGGTTGCAGATGTGGAGGAAGGGGTGTTGTTGGAGAATGTGTGTAGCAGCTCTGTTTTGGACATTGTGTCGGAGGAGTGTGAAGGTGCCTGATCGGAGCCGCCATCATGGCCATGCCACCGCTTATCCCTCTTGGAAGTGTTAGGGCCCATCTGAGGGTTTAGACTGCTGATTCAGTGCATCTTTTGGATTCTTGGGTATTGTCATGGGTAGGAGAAGAAAGATTTGGTGAAATTAGTGTTGGGTAGTTGTGGAGCACTCACAGCATGCTACTGCTCGCCTCAGAACCCAGGACATGCCTCCAAATACATATATCTTAAAGCGCCTTCTATTATTTTAAAGTCTGATAGTATACTCTGCTTGTTGGTATGTCTGCAGTCTTAAACACATTTAAATCTCTTTCTTGCATCAGATAAACTTATTTTTGGAATTATTTTTGTTCGTTTCAGAAAAACTTCTTGAGGAAGCCGATAATGACACAAAGGAGTTTCTGGAGTTGCAGTATGATAAAAAAGTGTTGCAGGATGCATTGGATGAGTTGGAAAGTGAAAATTGGCTGGAAAAAAATTCCAAGTATTGTCCCATCTGTGAAATTCCCATACAGGAAAGTCATATAGGCATGCCTTTTGCAATGCTCGGGGGTGTTGGGATAATCTTTGGCTGTCCTTTAGTATTTATAAAAGGAAGAATTTACACTCACTGAGATTGCATCAAGCTTTTTACACCTTAATGGCCAGTGGTTTTCTAAGTTTTAGTGTTCATTATCGAGGACTTTTTGGTACTTTTGCAATGTGTTCATTCCACAGTAATTTAACTCTTTTTGTTACCAATACATACAATATATATGTTTTTATATTAAAAAGACTGACAGGCTTTTCTTCTGATACCATATATACAGGTGATACTCAAAAAATTAGAATATCATGCAAAAGTTCATTTATTTCAGTAATGCAACGTAAAATGGGAAACGAATATATGAGATAGACGCATTACATGCAAAGCATAGTTCAAGCCGTGATTTGTCATAAGTGCGATTATGGCTTACAGCTCATGAAAACCCCAAATCCACAATCTCCGTAAATTAGAATATTACATGCAATCAATAAAACAAGGAGTGTACAAAGAACAATATCGGACCTCTGAAAAGCATAAGCATGCATATGGACTTAGTACTTGGTTTGGGCCCCTTTTGCAACAATTACTGCCTCAGTGCGGCGTGGCATGGAAGCTATCAGCCTGTGGCACTGCTGAGGTGTTATGGAAGACCAGGATACCACCAACACTAATTATAAAATATATATAAAGTAAAAAGGCATTTTTTTCGCAGTTTTGATTATAATAACTTCTACACTTTAAACTAATGCAACCAAAAAAAGAAAATAGATTCACTTGCTAGTCCCCAGTTAGTACCCAATATACCTAGGATTTCGCTGAAGTTATATGTAAAATATAACAGGCAGTGAATATAGGTTTAAAACTAAATCTTTGCCAAGTTAGTCAAGCTGAGATTATAACTTTAATAGCAGTCTCAAAAGAGGAATATTCATAGATCAGTATCACCTGCTTGATTTGCACCTTTAAATCTTGTGCAGCTCTGCAATGGAACCTTGGTTCTTTGGGGTGTTATCAGCTATTTGTCATCTTATTGATGTTGCTTCTGCTTGGCTTGCCAGAGCACCAGTATAGCTGCTGAGCAGTGGAGCTATTGCACAGTCAAAGACGAGAAGGGCAAACATGAAGACCAGTTTTGAGAGGTCGGACTGGAGAATTGGGACAATCCTTACAAGGTCATTCTTGGGAGCGTCCATTATTACCTACCTTACAAAACAACACTGTGCTGTTGGGTGCAAGTCCCTAGATACATATTTAAACTCAGTCACTGGATTGGGTAGTGCTATCTGCAAAGGGAACTAATCCAAGGATTGAGAAATTTATGAAAATCAAATTGTGATTATTTTACACTAACCCCTTTAGAATTATTCATGCATACTTTTTTTTTCTCATGCCTGTCTCACCACAGTCCTGAACTTGATAAAACAACAACAAAAAATTGGTTGCCTTTTCCTTTTGAGGCACATGAATTCTAATAGGGTTTATATGAAAAAAACGGTTGTGTTCAATAATAAAAATGTACTAAGCAGCAATTGCATTCTATGCAAGGTTTGTTACATCCTCCCCATGATCATGACTAACCCAAGAGAATCCTTGTTTTTAGACAAAGTGGGCTGTCCAGCATTATATTTTCTAGTTAATAAAAAAAACACTTCACTGCTCACTGCAGTGGTTATCGTGCCAGGAGTGCCTTGGTTCTCCCCCAAATCGTGAGGAATCAAACCATTTTTGCGTGGTTTTATTGTTTACCTGGGGTTTGCCAGGTGCTACTCCTCGCCTCCACTACCACTTTTAGAAGCCAAATACCCCGCAGTGTTCGCTGATCACTAAACTTCTGGCCTTTGTGGAATCATAGTGGCGGCAGGGAGCAACACCTGTCGGACCCCAGGTAAAAATGTCAAACCAGTCAAAAATGGTTTGACCCCTTACAGTGGAGGACGCCAGAGCACTCCTGCCACCATAACCACTACAGCAAGCTATAGTGGTTATGGTGTCTGGAGTGTTCCTTTATTGCAATTTGTTTTTGTGTCACTCTTCCATTTATAGCTTCTTCCCTCCCTGTATTTCTAAACATTGCTTGTTTGCTCTTACAGAAAGTAGGCGGCTGCAACAAGATGACGTGCACTCGTTGTGGACGATATTTCTGCTGGCTATGTATGTCCATATTGCCTTGGGAAAATGCATACGTTCATTTCAGTGATCCCGCATCAGGCTGCTACAATCGGTATGTGTAATGTTCATTTTCAACCAAACTATGATAAACCCATGTTGTATACCAAGGTTTCACGTTTGGAGTGGATTTTGCTAAATTATTTCTGACCTTATTGGAAGACCACGACTGGCTTGTTATTATATGTACCTCAATGAGTCACTGCAAGAGCAAGAACAACCATAGTATAAAAGAGTAAAATTACAGTCCAGTCACTGTTAGACTCCCAGTGGTGCATGGTTAAATAAATTCATCCAATTTCCAAAATCCAAAACACATTTGCATTTGCAAGAGTACTAGTAAAAGAGTATCTTTATTATAACAATTTAGGCACAAAATATTCAAAGTATATATCATACTGATAAAAATGTAGGAGGAACAAACAAGAAAAAGCTAGACGCTTCCTCGACAGCTTATAACATAACTAATGAAAACCATGATTTTAAATGAAAAAGAAACACTTCCTGTCACATGTGCAATAAATGGCTGGTACAATATTTATTAATTGACTAGCCATTTATTGTTACTTGAAGTCACAATGAATTGCTAGTCCATTACTTGCAATGGATATCCTGTGATAGGCTGATAGCCAATTACTGGCGCTCAATACTTTTCAATGATCCCTCTCTGTTTGGGGGGCATTTTCTACTTTTTTGATAGGCATGTTAACAAGATCTTCCACCTTATCAGCAAGGTTTTAATGACCCCATTCCCAGCTAAATTACTATATACACACACGCACACACACATAGATACATACTAGCACAGAGGGTTATAATATGTTCTCACAGAGCAGAACAATGCAGTGACAGGCACAGCTGCTTTCACAGCGTAATATGCTATGTACATTGACACGCGTAATGACTTGTAGGTAAGCTATTTATAGAACAATATTCTGCAGTTCTTTTTTCTTTTTTTCTTTTAAATTCTTTATTTTTGTTGTGCAAATAGGTACAGCAGTGTTTGAATTGCCACAACAGCATTCTCAAGCGCGATCATGAGAAACATAGTATAACATGAGTATGGCTTGCACATTTTAGATAATTAGTGGTATAAGAAAAAAAAAACTATATAACATAAGCGAGTGTTGAAATATGTCAGTAGATCGACACTGGTAAGCATGAAAATAAACTGTTTATTCAAAATTACGGTAAGGTAATGTAATAAAAAATAAATGGTCGCCTAGGTAACTCGAGGTATATACCATCCTAGTTTTTGGTGCTTATCTGGCGGACTATTCATGAGTCTGGTGGGCACTTCGTTGTCAAGCCCTGCTAGGTGTATGAGATAGGCTAGCTCTGTCGTGCAGTTCCCTATCTGGTGTAGACATCTCTGGGTTGCTGACCTGGTGCTAGTATGGCGGGAAGAGCATGCAGTATAGTGTCGAAAGTGCTTCAGCTTTATGTCTAGCGTTTGCACATGGCCTATACCTAAAATTAAGTAGCTTATATGTATAAGTGTGCTAGTGGGGCTATACGCTGTACATTGTCGTCTTACACCTCTAGGCTATGTCACCTCAGTTTTTCCTTTCACTTGGCAAAATGCTCTGCACACTCATAGCTCCTTACATTAGACAAGCTGTGTGTGTCACTGTGCAGAGGTATTTACAGAACAATGCTGTGACAGATGCAGCTCCTTTCACTGAGTAATATGCTGTGCACATTAATGCATGTAGTGCCTTACATTAGACAAGCTGTGTGTGTCACTATGCAGAGCTAGTTACAGAACAATGTTCTACAGTGAGAGACTGCAGTTCTTTTCTCTGGGTATAATACTCTCATATTGACACACTTAGCTGCTTGCATTAGGCAAGCTGTGTTACTGTGTGTATTGCCCTAAATAGGTGGGAAACATCAATATCACCTGGGACTACTTTGTTTCAGTATTTTTCCTCCACCTGCCTTCCCTGCCTTTTGTCAAGTTTGTCATTTCCCCCAGTGGTCATCCAGTGGCAGCTGCAGGTAAAAAAGCTCTGTTTTCCCCCCAAAGACCTCACTGCTGTAATCTCGAACATGTGTGAGATTACAGCGATGATTACAGAAGAGGGTGCCAGTTCATGCGAGGGGCATGTTCAGGTAAGTAAATCTCACCTTTCCCTGTCCCCGTGGCCGTACGACCCGCAGCTGACATGTTAGCATCGTCTTTCCAAATTTCCCAAAAGACCCCAGACAGTGACAGAGATGCTGTAATTTCAAAGTAACTAATATTCAGACATACATCTTTATATTGGGCTAGTTTAGGGAATATTGTTTTAGGTAATCTTAACATATTAAGAAAAATCCTTATGCAAATAAACAAGTTAGCTAGGTAATCATACACAAAAACTGTAACCTGATCTTGGAGGGGAAACTTGTCACTCAAAGATGTCAAAATATTAAACAACCATATTATTCCATTAAACATCATACCATTTCATCAAATCCTGGTTTTTAATATTCCATATCTTATGAGAATACAGATGTTCTTTTACAATCAAGTGCTTAATTAGTGGTTTATTTCCTGATTATTTAAATAAATCATTATAAAAACTATATGAAAGTTATAAAAATTTATATTTTAGATTGCACCAAGCATGTTGTAACTAGTAATTTGCGTAATAATTGTAACTGTAGTCACCATCACTGGGAGCAGAACTTTACAATGGTTCCTAAATGGCTCTTATGCCTCAGTCACCCTGTGCCAGGGCCGGACTGGGAATTAAAAGCAGCCCTGGAAAAAAAATATTTACCAGCCCCATAATGCGTCGCGCCAGCATAGTGTGCAGATACAGAGTTAGAAAAGAGAACTTAAAATTAAAAATTATTACTCCAACTTAAAAAAAAAAGCACTCATAGGCTTCAAAATAAACAAAAGTGCAGATTTATTTTAAGCAGACGTGCCTTTGCATGTAATTAATGTGTCAGTCCAACTACCTTGACATATTAAGGAAAGCTTAGTAATGGGACTGAAATGGTGAATGTATGTAGAGCACAACTGTAAAAAAATTTTGAAGTCCTGTGGGTGTGCTCTTCACTTTAAATATGTTATTGTGATGGAGTCTGCATCTAGCAACAACACTGGGCCAATATCTGCTCATTACATATGGTACATATTAATGACATTTATCTGTGTATTATGCATATATAAATGTTCATTAATATATGTGTAAATATAATGGATATATATATATATATATATATATATATATATATATATATATAAAACTAATACACATTAATATACATGTCATATACCAGTGGTGGATCCAGAGCCTGATCCCGGGAGGGGCACTTGTAGATTATTTAAAGAAATAAATGCCCTGTTGCCTCCCCACCCTCCGATCCACCAGTGATATATACAGCCCCTATGTGTGTCTCTTTATCTCCAGCCCCTCTGTGTGCCTTTTTGTCTCCCCCAGTCACTCTGTATGTTTGTATGGGGGGGCTGTGTGTGCAGCAATGAGTGTGTATGGGGGGCAGTGTGTGAATATGTATGGTGTGTGTACGAGTATGTTTTCCTGGCACTATAGTGGTCCTTTAAGATGAACAAGCATCACTTATTCGCATGAAGTGATTAAATTGTGATCATCGATTTTGATGATCTTAGCCGAGGAGGTGGAGCTTCCCCGTGGAGACCAGTGTGGCAAGTGAGAAAAGGTAAGTAAAAAAACTGTTTTACTCCATACAGGTGGGGACTGGTGTCCTAAACAGCCAACAGGACGCTGTAACGTTAGGAATATACATTTGTATTCCTAATGCTATAAAGTTATTTAAGGGAAAGTAGGGACTACTTTTCTCCTCTTGACAAAAGGCTGAGCTACTGCCGTCAGGCTTTATTGCTTCTCCACCCGACGCTAGTCATGGCTGTGGAGAAAAAAGCATGACCTTGCTTATTTTGAGACAATATCTATCGGGGCTCCTGCTGTTTTGCAGGATCCGCCATAGACTTCATATTGTGAGATATTGGCGGATGAAGCGCTAGGAGCTGGAAGAGGGGGCACTAACATAGGACAGCATCAGGTTAGTATATCACACACGGCGGCACTGCCAACTAAGTGCGAAACATACAAAGACCCCAGAAGGTGACAGAGCCACTTTAATTAAATGTAAAAAAAAATTTAAGGATGTGTTAGCCTGCTCTTTTCCCCGATCCCCCCACCTTCAGCATTTAAAAGCCACGTTTATGTTATTAGTTACATTTATGTTTGTTCTCAGTCTGTTCTCTTCTGCCTTAAGATTGACTAGGAACATACTTGTGTAAGCACTGCTGTGTACCCTGTATAATACGAGGACTTTCTTTACTTATGCGTAACTGTGTGCTGTTATCAGCTGTGCTCTTGTGTCTTCTGGAAATATACTTTTACTTGCTGTTTGAACTGCTCAGGGTGTCACTTTCCTCCATCAGCTCAAACAGCAAGTAAGTGTGAGACATTTTATACAAGTGGCAGGAGTGGAGAGACGATAACAGCATGGCTCTGACAGAGAAAATGCTTGGATTACACAGAGTCTATCTGAGGTTTATGCAACAGACTGGGAACAAGCATAATAACAGGTAATGTTTATATGTGGGAAAGAGCAGGAAGATACACACAGACAGGCCAGTCTGATGCTGTGATTGTTCTGTGTAAACTTTCAGCAACAAGAAGGTTAGCTTGCACGACATTCCGTCAGATAAAACAGTAGAACATGACCCAACATGACTGCTAAGCAAGATAAAAATGTAAAAGTGCTCTAAAAAGCAGTATATGTATAATTTTTAAAAATCATTAATTTAATTACATTTAGTAAACTGTCAAAATGGTATTCCATTGTAGGTGACTTTCAAGGTTTAGGTATTACAAGATTCATTTCAAGTTGGTCATATTTAACACAGAGGTCATTGGCATTTTCTGAAACATTTGTTTCTTTGTTTTACAGGGTATCTGAAGATGAAGAGAACAGAGAAGGAGCAAACTGAGTAGCATTTGTATCTGCTAGTTTCGTTTTTGCACAAGGCCTTAAAGAAGCACTAGAGTGTCAAGAATACAAACATGTATTCCTGACACTATAGTCCTGATATGGCACTTAGGTGACTGGAATGCTCCGATCTTGCTGAAACCGAGATTTTACTCACCTTTTCTCCCACGCCGCGAGATCATCCCATAAGATCATCAATCTTTATGAACAAAGCCAAGGAAATGGGAAGTAGTGGGAAGCCTTAAATCAATGCATCGCTATGTGGAAAGTTCAGCGTCTCCAGAAGCACCTCTATTGGCCATCTGAGTGCTTGCCACTAGAGTTGTTACTAGGCAGTAATGTAAACACTAATGTAATGTAACACTGCCTTTTTGCTGAAGAGCCTGCAGGGTCAGGCTGCAGACACCATAAGCACTACATTAAGCTGTAGAAATGCAAGAAGGAAACTTTCTGACTTATAATGTGTTCTCAGGAATTAGTTTGTCATTTGGTCTAAAAGTGACAATTATTTTTCTGCACTTTAGTTGATTTCACTTTTTTTTTAATTATTATTTTTTTTAATCTAATTTGTATACACTATTTCAGTTGTGTCTTAAAATTACTTTGGAGAAACTGAATGGATAGATATTGCACAAAATACTTATACAATGACAGGCAATACTAAATGATCAGGCATCCATTTACCAGAAATAATATTCATTTATATTATTCCTGTTTTCATGCACCTTATGGTGTATGTATCTCTAATTTGTTAACAAATAAAGTGCTTTTTTCCCCCAACAATCTCTGATGATTTTCATCATAATGTGGATTATAAATTGTTGGGGTTTTTTTTTGCGTTATTCTCTATACAAATTCCCATTATATGTGGTGGTGGTTTCTAGAATGTGTCAAATATTCATTATTGTAAATTAATATAGACTATTTCACCTGATTGCCTTCTCTTCTTAACCACTTAATCCCTTAAGGACAGAGGCAATTGTATAAGTTCTGACCAAATCAAAACCTAGCATTTGAGCTAAATGTCTGTTCAACCATAATTTACCTCTTTCATATTAAGTACACCCACACTTATTATATATCATTGTGTTCAGGGGAAATAGGGCTTTCATTTCAAATCAAATATTTATATGTAGAACACAATTTAATATGAAGACAATCTAAAAAAGTACGAGAAATTAAGAAATGTTGTTTTCCAAGTTCTGCATGGCATTTTAATTTTGAATGTCTTAATACTGTTTGCTTTCACTGAAATAAAATACATATATTTGGATTCTGCAACGTTAGTGATTATATTAATATACGTTTTACTGCAATAAAACGAGTACAACAGTACCCCCCATATACAGGTTTTATGGGGGTTTTGGGAAGTTATTACAACTTGAAATATGCAAAATTGGTTTGCTGGGCCCATATTGCCTTTGAGACCGTATGGCAGCTCACAGTCCAGGAATGAGAATTACCACCATTATGGGATACCATTTGCAAAAGTAGACAATCCAGAGTATTAAAAAAAAAAATTTAGACTTTTTTTTTCCCCTTTGAAGTCTTCTACTAACTATTCTATTAGCTCACTACAATATAATATAAAGAAGTATGGGCAGCATGGGATCACTCAAGGATTCCCAAACCTTGTATAATCGAGCAAAAACCTAAAGAAAAGGATGCACTATGCCATAAATATACCATTAAAGTGCTCTTAGTACCTTAATACATGAACCACTGAAATATTCCAAGTAGGTTAACCTCAAAGAAAAAAGGAACAAGGCAAAACAAATAATAGTGCAATACAGTTTAACAGTATAAAAATATGCAGTAAAATTGCTGTAGAGAACTCACTGACATTTTACGAGTACAAGCAACACAGTGCTTCTTCAATGCTGTCATCAGCCATACCAGAATCAATGACCAGTGAAAAGTAGGCAGGGAAAAGTTCTGTAATGCTGCCCACGTCATTCGGCAGTGGCATAACAAAGTGCATTCAATTAAGGATGTGTAGTGTTTGTTTAATCATGCGTTTTATACTACATTCCCCACAATGCTCTGCTTGATCACGTAGCTGCAATTGGTCTGTCCTGATCACATGACCTATTTTCATTCTTGTTTTTGTTGTTTATGTATATGAAGTATTTTGTAGATGTTTACTTAAGCAGTACTGTTATGTCGAACTTACTTTTCCTTAAGAGCTTCCTCTTCTCTCTCATTTAGCATCTGTGATCCATTTCTTCAGGTCTGCTCTAGTTTTCTTTAAAACATAAGACAACTCTTACTTATTAACAATTACCTATTTGGTTTTGTTCTGTTTTGTTTATGTTGAGAAATCCACAAAATAGTGAATGTAGCTGACTGAATGACAGCTTAAAAGCAGTCTTGATGGTTGGAAAATGATAATGTCACTTGTGCCATATTCTTGTATCATGCATTCACAATAAAAATGGTTTTGGGGAAAAAACTAAACTTGAGACAATGTAAGGGACTATTTTGTCTTATGTATTTTTCCTACGCCTGACCAGCTCTGACCTACTTACTGTGGGTCAGAAACATTTGCCCACAATACTCACCCTTTACTCCGTGATCTTGCGATGCCTGCTTTCAGTATTCCCGAACGTCTTGTCATTTAGACAGAACGCCGGCGAAACTATCGAATTTCGCCCTAACAGAATGAGAAATGTTGGTTCATTTGTGTTAGGATGGCATATGGTACTTTTAGTTTGGTTCAAAATTTCATTCGAATTAATGAAATTCTGATCCATGCTGTGGCTGCATCTTGCAGCCGCTTAGTAGATAGCTCCCTAATTCCCACAGTATTAGGGAGCTATTTACCAAAAGGCTGAAAGACCAAGATTGATCTTTCAGCCAACTTTAATAACACTAACTGTTAACTCACTGTTAGAAAAAGAAAAAAAGCCCCCCACCTTCTCATAAATGGCCCCATGGTGGCATTTATTAACTATCGGCATACGTGTATTACTGGTTTCCATACTTGTGGAAACTGCAAAGCGTGTGGACATTCTTATTCATCCCATAAGGAGTTTAAGAGCACACAGAAGTTTTTAAAATCAAAAGTCACATTTCATGTTCCTCCACACATGTTGTGTACCTGATCACTTGCAACTGTGGTGCACAATATATGGGGAGGACTGGAAGGAAAGCGAAAATAAGATGCCTAGAACACTATAACAATATACGGAAAAAAATTATTACGCGTACGGTCCCTGTACATTGCAATAAGTGTCCATCTTTTAACAATAACATCAATTTTATTGCTATAGAACAGGTACAACTTGATGACAGAGGAGGTGATCTAATGTTAAATTAAGAAAAAGAGAAGGTTTTTGGATAAATAAATTACAGACTATGCAACCCCGAGGTCTGAACGTAGATTTCGACCTGGTGTGTTTTTTACAATTACTCATTACTACCTCAAAATTATCAGCTACATTTTGTATATTTTCTATTTTTTTATCTTAGAATAAGAGAGATTTTTTTTATTATCTTAGAATATGAGCGATTTATTTGTGTATTTCTAGATGTTGGGGACTTTGTTCATACTACTAAATATTTTTAATATTCTCAGTTATATTTTGTAATATATATATATATTTTTATAATTTGATGGATATTTATGAATCCACTAGGTTATTAAATTAATTATTATGACCTTATGTCTGTGTATATATTTCCCTAAGAAGTGGGTGTATTGATTTTAAGTATTGTTTCTATGTGTTCTAATTATAAGATAAAGATACATGTATATTTTCATTTTTTTAATATGTTATCCTCGAGTTATATTGGGACTCTTAAAGATGGTACAAAGCATTAATGACACGTAACGCTGGAAGTGGAACGCAAGCGCTTGTCCGACTTCCTGGTTTATGGAACGCACCTTTAACGTTGTCACGAACGCACCCTACTCCAAGAGTGTGCGTGACGTAGTTGTGGTGGTGAAAGGGTTAAAGTACACTATTTGTCTGCACTAGACTGGAAATAATGACAAAATCCCCCTTTAACACCACCCACACTTAAACATAATAATATAACTATTACTACTTTAACGCTGCCACCACCAAGACAATTTATAAATGGGGTGCCTTGGTCCCCCAGGTAAATCAATAATAAAACCCACCAAATATTACTTAGTACAATATTTAAGGAATTATAAAAATACTAACTAGTCTCTTCAGGTAACGTGATTCTTAACCAGACAAAGGCAAAACTTAATAAATGAATGTTTATTATGAGCAAAAGATAGTCACAGTGCATATAAAAATATATGATAAACAAATTATTTATACCAACAACAGGTAAAAACAAAAAGGATAAAATACAGAAGTCCTAATTACTCACTTAGGTTTTGAAAGTACAACTTCTGTCCAGGGGGTCTCTGGCAAGGAAAGATGGTGACTCACCCAAAATTAGATCTTGGCCCCAAGCAAGTACACCAACACCCTTCAGGATCATTAGATATATACCCTGTGGTTTATCAAGTCTTGCCCAGGGGTGGAGTTAAGGCGTACCTACAGAAATAATAACTGACCACCTCCTTTGTTCCAGACCACTGTCAATCCAAATGGAAACATTTGACTCTATCTTCTTTTTTGTACCTGCCACAGAAATAATAATTGCATCTACAAATTTGTTATTATTTTCCCATTCCATAGACATGTTGCACGTCCCACCCACGATCCAATAGGACGGACATCACAATTCCTTTCCCTAGGGTCAAGTTAGGCCACTCATGTTTGGACTTGGTTAGAAGATGGCGCTTGTCACATTCCAAATATAACAAAAATGAGGCTTAATTATTATTCTGTGGGGGTAAATATGAATGTTTTTGTCCTTCCTTTGGATATGATACTAGAACAAAGCTAATGGCATCTACATATCAAAGAGATTTACTCATCACTTACAAGGTATAGGCCAAATGGATGAAGAGACATTCAGACTTTTTCCAAGTGTAGAACCTCACACATTGCAGACTTCACATCCATACAGTAAAAT